TCACATTCATGACACATGCACACAAGCATTAAATTAATTACTTAACCTTTTTCTCACCCTGGTCATATAGATGCCATCATGCTTATTGTGCAAAAAAAAATAAGCATGGGTCTCCATTGATAAATCTCAGTCATTCGAAAGAATTTCCCAAATCTATCCAACCAAATTTCCCAAATGCTTGTTGCTGTGAAGGATCAGGGGGGTACGGGGAAGGGTCACAGTGATAGTAAAATCCTGACTGCATAAAGACAATTTGGCTTTTGGTTTTAAATGGAAACTAATCTTTCTGTTACAGTTTTTAAAAATTGCTTCCACACATTTTCCGAAACTATGGCTCCATTTCTCAAAACTCTATACAGGATTTAAAACGTCACATATCTCTAGCAAAAGCAAACACTTAATTCAAAACTATTTTAACTCTTGTTTTAACTCTAAAAATGTTGTTTTTGTATAGTGACTACACACAAACCATTCAATGATTATCCACATACACGCCAAACTACACACAGATGTGAAAAATGTAAAACAGCTTTTGCAGACTTGGTCTGAAGATTAAGTAAATGGTATATGGAAGATTAGGTATAGGTATATGGAAGATTAGGTATATTAGGTAAATGGAAGATTAGGTAAAGGTATATCATTTAATACTTTCGCTAAGTGGGCATTGGGCAATCACATACCACTTTTAGTGTGTAAGCATTTTTTTAAAAGTGGTCACTTTAGTGGAGCAGGCAGAATATGTGTTGGTTTTAGCAAACCAGTATTTGAGTAGCCAACTCACTTGATGCTCTGACTTTGAGCCATGTGGATTAGGGTATTGTTGATATAGTCTGACTATAACACCAGGCATTCTCTGCTCTTATAGAATTGAGTGATGATTGTGACACCCTGTGAGTTCTAAGCTGTTTTGTGTGTGTGTGTGTGTGTGTGTGTGTGTGTGTGCGTGTGCGTGTGCGTGTGTGTGTGTGTGTGTGTGTGTGTAAATATGTACAGTGTATTGTCATTTTTCTTCTTCCAAAAGGGCGAAGGTGGAAAGTGATGCTAAAAAGGGAACACTCCTCCAGGCTTGCTGTATTTGGGCCAGCATGTGTATGCGTTTCTGTGTCTATTGTGTATTTTGGACAGCAGTCCCCAGATAGCATGGTGACATTGATACAATGTTGAGTTTTGATCTAAACCATCATTTTGGTTGAGATTGACATTTCAATGTTTAAAGTGTGCTGGATCAGCATTGACATTTTGATGAAAGCCAACAACACACATGGGTGGAGAAAGTGACATTGAACTAACAGTGATTTGTAGTTGATGAGCACAAGATCATTCAGGCGTATCTCTGCAGAACACTAGTGGGTGTTTCTCGATCAGTGGGGCGTTTTCAATGGGTGACAAACCACAAACCACCACGCTATTTTCAACCGCTTTAACCGATTTGCTGTAATCCACTGTGGGCTTGGTTTAGGGGTGGGCCTTCATGATTTTAGCAAGTCTGTTGAAAAATGGTTGAAAAACATTTACCTGTATTGTAGTTTGAAATTGGCCACTGATTGGTAAACGCCCATTTTGTCTTTGCATGTGCACTTTTCAATAGTCTAACGCTTCCTCATTAGAGAGAAAACAGGTGCATCCTATACAGAAGTCTTGTTTGTTGAATCACCTGACATACATGACTTAGCACAGTTTCAAACAATGGTGCATCTACCTTATTTCTCTGTTCCTTTGTTTTGCATGCTTATTTGCGTTTGATTTGTGTTGTTACTCACTGTAATTAGATTACAAAAGTTATTAAAGTGTTTGAATAAAGCATCTATTTTTCTACATTCTTAAAAAATGCATCTTGCTTTAGTAAAGTTTATTAGGAATTTCCTGAATAAAGTTATGTCATTTAACAGATTTCTTAAGGCGCAAGAGACATGAACATAGCCCATGTCTTGTCTCGGTCAGTGCTTGCATGTAAACACATTGCTCCTTTAGTAGGAGTGAAGGCAGATGAAGATTGACATTTAAAAAAGCACCCTCCTGATAATGCTGACATTGATCATATATTGAGTTGTTGTCGACAGCATAATCACCTGACCTGGGACTTGATGATATCCTGTATCTTATCACTGCTTAATCAGGTAATCATTCATATTCCTGAATCTGTATTAAATTTGAGAAATAACTGATTTCTATTCAGTTTAGCTTGTTTCCACTGAAACACAATAACAAAAAAACATCTAGTGTTTATTAAGAAACTGACTGACATGGCTATTTTGTGATATTTAAAGAGATTGGGGTCTACATAAGGTGAATATGCAGCTTTAAAGAGATAGTTCAGCCTGAAATTAAAATTATGTCATCATTTATTTACCCTCAAGTTGTTCCAAACCTGTATGAATGTCTTTCTTCTGCTGCACACAAAAGAAGAGTGAATAATGTCGGTAACCAGACAGTTGATGTTAGCCATTGACTTCCATGGTAATTATTTCCTACTATGGAAATCAATGGCCACCGTCAACTTTCTGGTTACCGACATTCTTTAAAATATCTCATTTTGTGTTCAAAAGAAGAAAGAAACTCATACAGGTTTGGAACAACTTGAGGGTGAGTAAATGATTACAGAATTTTCATTTCGGGCTGAACTATCTCTTTAAATAAATTTTCATTGAAAAAAAACTAAGATATTTTTTATTCTACAAGATAAAAGTGTTATTTGAATGCTGTAGTTTCACAGAAAATGAACTGAGATGTAGTTAATGGCTATAGCTCAGAGGTGTTTGTTCCTCTTCATGAAGAGTTTAGCTCCAGCACCTGGAAGTGTTCCCCAGCAAACATGCCAGTGCGGGCCCACTGTGGGCAAGTGTGGGTTTTCTGTGGGACAGTGTGGGCAAGGGCAAACCCTTTGGGGCCCCATTTGGGCTTTCTGAGGGCAAGCCCACAGTGGGCTTGCCCACATATACCCCTCAAGGGCCCCTAGTGGGTTAGCCCATGCGGGGCCCATAGCAGTTTTGCCCATTTGGGCCCCCATGAGGGTTTACTGTGGGCAACCCACTGTGGGTTTGCCCACAGAAAACCCACATGGGCCCCCAGTGGGTTAGCCCATGCGGGGCCCATAGCAGTTTTGCCCATTTGGGCCCCCATGAGGGTTTACTGTGGGTAACCCACTGTGGGTTTGCCCACAGAAAACCCACACGGGTCCCCAGGCAGTTAGCCCATGTGGGGCCCATAGCAGTTTTGCCCATTTGGGCCCCCATGAGGGTTTACTGTGGGCAACCCACTGTGGGTTTGCCCACAGAAAACCCACATGGGCCCCCAGTGGGTTAGCCCATGCGGGGCCCACAGCTGTTTTTCACTATGGGGCCCCCATGAGGGTTTACTGTGGGTAACCCACTGTGGGTTTGCCCACAGAAAACCCACACGGGTCCCCAGGCAGTTAGCCCATGTGGGGCCCATAGCTGTTTTTAGAGTTCTCAACGGGTCGGGTCGGCCCGACAAACCCGACGGGACCCGCGGGTTCGGGCCGGGTTCGGGTCGAAAATATTTGCAAATGACTCGGGTCGGGTCGGACCTCGGGCTTAATCTTTTGAATTGTACAGTGAAAGAAAAAAAAAACATTTATTATTCATCGCTGCTGTTCACTGTAAAGAAAGTCTGGCTGCTGCGTGCAACGTGCATCGCGACGCGAGGGCAGACCTGACGCCGCTGCGTGCACGCCTTTAGCCCGGAGAAGAAGATGGAGTTGGTGAAAAGTAAACTTGCTGCAGGTGAAATCACCGTTGCTCAGGGGCGGCGCGACACGTTGTGTGATTATCTCGGCAGTTTAGGACATCGCACAAGATTTGTTTCAATACAGAAAACATTTAATCACTGGATAGTTTTTTTCGTTTATTGAAATGTGGTTTATGTCAGCTGGATGGGCGGAATATGTGAGACGTGAGAGTGAGCGCGCGCGCGGCCGGGGCTCTCTCTCTCTCTCTCTGCGTCAAGCGCAGCAGTCATTCTACATACATCACTCACCGATCAAAAGGGTGGCGTCGGGCCGCGGGTCGGGTTCGGGCAGATAATTCATGTTGATGTGTCGGGTTACATCGGGTCCGGGCTTTAAAAGCCACGGGCCGGGTCGGGTCGGGTTGTAATTTTCAGGCCCGTTGAGAACTCTAGCTGTTTTCACTATGGGCCCCCCATGAGGGTTTACAGTGGGCAACTCACCATAACGGTACATTGTTTTAAGTTGTTTAACAGTCATATGTTTTAAGATTAGAAGGTTTAAGATTAGATGCTTAATCAAACTATTTAACGATCCCGTGAAATGTCATAAATATTATTTCATTCAACAGTCCATAATTAACTAAAACTGCACATAATGGATTATGAGCATGTGCATTTAAAATAACAAATTTGTGACTTATAAGGAATTATAAAAAATAATATAGATGTAACTATATATTGTAGGTCTTAATGAGTCTTTATAAATATATTTATAGAATAGTAATATTGCTCATAAATAAGTATAAATGGTGCTATAATTCATTATAAGCATGGACTGCATATAAAGTGTTACCGTATTTATTAAATAAAATTAACTTATTTGTCACAATAAAAACAATGCAAATGGTTTACTGATTTGTTTTGGTATTCATCAGTGATGTATATTTATTATAATACAATTATATATTGTTGATACTAATAAATATATCACTGATGTAACGACTGAGACCAATCAGACACAAACGAAACTGCAACGTCACGGGCCCGTAATTTCATTACCATCTTTCATTTATATAAAGCAGTGTTTAGTGCTTTCATATTCTCTTTTAATGTAAAAACAAAAAAAACAAAAAAAAACATTGGTCATAGAACTGCACAATGATTTTTAAATTCATGATTTAAAATTAATGATATTTTAAAATCTTAAATGTTGTAATTCTAGATGTTTAAATGCTGCGTGCCTTTTGAATTGTTCTATGGTTTCAATGCGCGTGCGGCGGTAAACATTGAGTCGCATTCAAAGCTGTCTGATACAAAGACAGGAGCGCACGCGAGCAGATGGAAACCATGGAAACGAGGAAACCTCATCAACTGACAAACAGCAAAACTAGCGTCTCTCGCTGTTGTTTTCGCTTCTTTCAGGTAAGTTTAGTTAACATAATCACACAAATAATACATACAAACGTTCCTGACACCTACGTATAATCGATACGCTTCTGTTGAATATTTACTTTATAGAAATGGTTTTGTGTCTTCGAAAAAGTCCGTTAGCATCTCAACCGTTTTCAGAATAGGTAACGTTAGCAGCTAGCTAAGTTAAGTTAACGTTACACTTGAGCTCTTTTTTGCTGGTAAAACCCTGAAAAACCTCCACAACAAAGGGAGAATTATTGTTTAAACATGATAATAATTTCATATGCATTTATTGCACAATATATATTACCTTAAGATTATATATATATATATATATATATATATATATATATATATATATATATATATATATATATATATATATATTCTTTATCTTTTCTGCATTTCATCTCTAGCTTGCTTCCTTGTAATAAACCCTTTGTTCTATTGTAAATCCTATGTAACATTGTTGGCTCTGTGACACATTGCATGTTATGTTCTAATCTAGAACCTTTGTTGTGGAGGGTTTTTTTTTCTGTCCCTCCTGAAATCACTTTTATTATCAATCTTCTAGAAGATCATCATGCTGATGGCCTGCTGCACCCCCTGTCCAAGACAACCTCCACGGCTATGAACTCGACTAGTAAGCAAAACCTCAAACATACTGTTCAAACGTTGGGGGTCTGTAGGTTTATGCTTTTTAATGAAGTCTCACACTTTACATTCATTAACCCCAGTTTTTTTCAGTGATATCGTCCCTGAGAAGCCTGAAGGCTGAATAGGCGGCAAATATAATGTTATAATGGTCATAGTTATAATAATTAATTTAACTATTATGATAACAGGAAATCATGGTCATTGGTGTATATATATATTTTTTTTCTCTAGGTGTGTTTTTTAACTATGTTGGCCAATGAGACAGACACCATACTGTCCAACTCAAAGATATATATATTTTTTTATTAATAAATACTGAAATTCTTTTTACTTTTAAATGCTGAATTCAGGGAGTCGACAACTTTAGGCATAGTTATTTTTCACAGATATCTGGCCAGTTTACTCATGGCTCATACTCTTAGCCTTTAAAATGTTTGAATTTATGTCCACAATGCAATATCAGGGGGTAAAGATATCATTAGAGTTTTTAAAGTTATGGCTATGCTCTTGTTACCAGATGAGATATAATCATTTGACCCTGTGATTCTTCAGGGCCAGATCTTGATGCCATCCACACTCAGTACATGACGAAGGTGAGTTTCCCAATAGCTGCCACTATCACAAACCAAGAGACAGAACACAACAGGCGTTCATCCATATGAACTCACCCATACGTAGGGATAGGTACCAAAACCCGGTATTAAACATTAAACGGGCCCTGGGGCCAAATTAAGGAAGACCGCATAAGCCCAGACGTTATCAGTTCTGCTGACGGTACTGAAGAAATTACACACACTATTTATTATAGACACTTTGTTTTGCAAATTCTGTGAGGATTAGGAGGGGTGTTTTAAACAGTCTTCATACAACATGTTTTTCAGGCTGGTTGTTTGTAATTTTGTAAGAGTAGGGAGAAAATAAAAACCTTTATTAAACATTAATGAAACGCATGTTCATGTTTTGTAAATGATTAGTTAATCATTAACTAAGCAATTGTAAATTACTTATAACTGAATCTACAAAACATGATACATACAACAATTAACATATCACTTATTAAACATTTATGAAACGCATAATCATGTTTCATAAAAAATTGACTTAATCATTTACTAATCACTTGTAAATGACTTGTAACAATTTACAAAACATTCATAAAATGTTAGTATATCACTTGCTAATCATTTATAAATGTTTTGTAAACCCTTAGTTCATCATTAACTAACCAATTATAAATGACTTACAACTGAACGTTATTATAAGCCGCAGCTCTCTCATTAGCCGCCTTTCCACTGCCGGGCCAGGGCCGAGCCGTGCTAGTGCGTGCTAGAGCCAGTCGCGTTTCCACTGTCACTTCCGGGGCTTGATCGGGGCTTACTCGGGTCCAACGGCCAGGATTTCTGGCCCGTCGAATACCTTGGGCCAAAGCGGGCCAGCTCGGGCTAGAGGCGTGGTCAAGGTAAAAGGCGGAGTTTGTCGGTGTTATGGAACGTTATGATCTGAAGCAAGATGCACATTTCACTTTTTTATATCGCGCAAAATAATCGCTGCTCGAAAAGGTGAATCGCCTGTACTGGTCTGTCGAAGATACCAATGCTCTTCTGAGCATTTGGGCAGAAGAAAGGGTACAACGTCAATTTGACGGCGTGTGAAGAAACGAAGACGTTATAAAATACATCGATGCTGAACTTTCTAAGCTAAGCATTCAGCGAGCAACGCTTCAAGTTTAGAAAAAAAAAGTTGCGGGCGCAGTATTGTACAAGGCGATTCAAACGCACAATGGACAAAGCGGAGCTCAGAGAAGGAACTTTCCAAAATCCATGGTTCGACTTGATGGACGGTGTGCTGGGTCACCGTCCCTCTGTTAGTGGCGACTCGCGAGACAATCTGGACACTATTGCAGGCTGCAGCCACGGCCGGTGAGTTAAAGGGATACTCTACTGGTTTTTCATATTAAACTATGTTATTCCGTGAAAAGTCCTCTCCTCCTCCCTCTCCTCCTCCCTCTCATTTAAACGGGAGCGGACTTTTCACGAGTGATGATATTACTGCGCCGAGTCGAAGTGCTCCCAAGCACTTGCTATGGTATTCTGCCATACAATATAGTCATCCATTGTACACGCTTAGAAAAGCGCAACGTTTTATTTTGTGTCACCGTTCTTAGTCGAGTTACACTACTCTAGTAACTGTATTTAAATAGGGAAAACGTGAAGGTGTTTGGTCGCTTCTCTTCTTGGCACGTATTGAATGAACAGGGCTGAGATAAGATCTAACAAAGTTTCGCCGCAAGACAGCGATGTAGTGCACGCACTGAGACGAGAGAGGTATGTATCAACTCGTCTTAGTTAAGGGAATAACATAGTTTAATATGAAAAACCAGTAGAGTATCCCTTTAATATACATGCTATCTTCCTAACTTAAAAAATAAATAAATTCATAATACCCGCTGAAATGGGTTGGGTAGCGGGGGCGGGGTTTAGGGCAGCGCTGCGGGGCTACTGGCCCGGCAGTGGAAACGCAAGTCCGGTGCTTGAGGCCCGAGGCCACTGGCTCGGCTCGGCTCGCTGTTAGCCCTGGCCCGGCCCTAGCCCGGCAGTGGAAACGCGGCTATTGACCTAGTAGTCAGTCATTCTCTCAGTTGAGCATTTATAAATATCACCTAGAACAACAGTACAACCCTTATTCTTGTTTTTAACATTTGTATTTCAATTGATCCTTTCTCACTTAGATGCTGTGACAAAAAGCAGTCAAGCCACTGCATGTGAGGTGGAAGCCTCTATAAAGACATGGCTCCGTGATGCCAGGGACGGAGATGGGGGAAGGCAAGGAAGGGCCAGAACTGCAGAAATACCTACTGGTGCCCCTGAGGGGATTGCTTTTTAATTTACTTTGACGTGTTTTAAGTGTTCTGTGTTTCTGTTTTTGTGGTTATTGCTGTTTTAAACTGTATTATTATTAATTATAATTATTATTTAATATAAATAAATTATTTGGGGAAAAAAACATGACCCTCGATTTATTGCTGCTAACAAGTGCAATTGTACTGCATATAGTAATATGGGTGTACACGTGTACACTCTGTGTGCTTAAACTTTGCACCTGCACCCACAGTGTGCCCACATCCAGCCCACATGAGGGCCTGCTCTAATTTGTGTGGGCCAGCCCAAAGTCAGCCCACACTTTGGGCTGTCCCACTGGGGCCCCACCTGGGTCCCAAAGTGTGGGGCCCACACGTGCCCCGCATTTCACGCCGGTATCTGGGCCCACAGTGGGCTGCCCGCAATGGCCCCACATGGGCCCCTATAAGGGTTTGCTGTGGGCCCACAACTGGCCCCAATGGGGGCCCACTCTACTTACTGTGGGCCTGCCCACAGTCAGCCCACACTTTTGGGCTGTCCCACTGGGGCCCCACCTGGGTCCCAAAGTGTGGGGCCCACACGTGCCCCGCATTTCACGCCGGTATCTGGGCCCACAGTGGGCTGCCCGCAATGGCCCCACATGGGCCCCTATAAGGGTTTGCTGTGGGCCCACAACTGGCCCCAATGGGGCCCACTCTACTTACTGTGGGCCTGCCCACAGTCAGCCCACACTTTTGGGCTGTCCCACTGGGGCCCCACCTGGGTCCCAAAGTGTGGGTCCCACACGTGCCCCGCATTTCACGCCGGTATATGGGCCCACAGTGGGCTGCCCGCAAGGGCCCCATTCGGGCCCCAAAGAAGCATGTTTGCTGGGTCATTGATCTGATGACCTTGATTAACTGCCTCAGGTGTGTTTAATTAGGACTGGAGATAAAATCCGACACCCCTGCTAGTGTTTTCTTTTGATATTAAAGGGACACTATGCAGCTTTTTTAGCTTAACTGAACAGCTTCAGAGTTATTGAAATGGTTATATAACTTCTTTCGGGTTGAATGGTGGGCGTCTCGACCCCCCCCTGGTGCCTGTGAGCGCAAAAATCTCACTTGCAACTTCGGTGCGGCGGGCCGCGTCAGGAAGTATCGCGTGATATCAGCTCTCGCGATGTAACATATTCCTTTACGGCAACTCACACATACACACAGGAACAAGGTATAGATGGATGGAGTTTGTCACACTATCGTCATGGCTGAGCCGGCATATAAGATGCAGAAAGCTAGGAAAGCATTGTCGGAGGAACAGAGAAAGAGGAAACGGCAGACTGACCGAGCGAGGAGTCGGGCACGAGCATAGGCATAATTTGCAGGTGTGTTATGTCCCCATTGAAACTTCTCGCGGCACGGATGTACCATTACAAACAAATAAAACATCTCCAGGTAACTCTAGTAGAGCATTCATTTCGTTCGTTTGTTAAATAAGAGGCGATCTGAAATAGGGCTGGGCGATAAAACGATAACGATATGTATCGCGATAGACACGTGATCGATATCAATAAAAAATGTGTTCGATAAAACGTTCGATATTTTTTTTCTTCGTCGGAAGAAACCACAGGTTGCGAAGCAAGTTTGGTTGTATTATCAAAGGCACGCGCTCTCTGGTAACCTAGCAACGTAGGGAGTGACACGCTCAGGCAATCATGTAACGTGTCAGTTTTGTTGCGCCATATCGTTGTCTCGTGCTGCTGGGTTCCTCTTCAGTAACCGGCGATTGATAAGCAGAAAATGAGTGCCCTTCATCTGCATGCCATGCAGGCTAGAGTTGCGAAACATTATTGGATAATTCGCTCTATTCGCGTTTGATGTGAACACAGCATAATGAACAGGCTGCGATGTCAAGATTTCAATGCTGGAGTGTGTGTGTGTGTGTGTGTGTGTCCGACTCCGCGCGCGCGAGAGAGAGAGAGAGACACGCGGGCGCGATCGAACAGTGGAGACATAAAAACATACTCCGTCATTTTGTTAATACAGGACATCATTCAGTCTGCAAAGTGTTTACTTATATTTGTGTAGGCCTATACTCGCAATAAAACACAACATTGTGCTTTTGTCACACTGTATTTCTTGTCAAACTGTAACCTACAACTGTCACACACCGTTTTAAAAGCAAAACATATTTATCCAACCCTTTTTAAAACAGTCTG